TGGAAGACTACATTCATTATGCCTAAACACAAATCTGGCTCGAAAACTGAAGTCAGTAACTACCGGCCAATCAATATCACACCTATAGCATCTAGAATCATGGAGAGACTAGTCAAAGATAACTTAATCAAACATATGCTTAGCTGCAACATCATAAGTCCGAACCAACATGGATTCCTGAAATCCAGATCATGTTTAACATGTCACCTAGACTTCTTCAATTTTGTAACCAGCAGTCGTGACAGACGGCAACTAGTACTTGTCATCTACTTTGACATTTCTAAGGCATTTGACCGTGTTGACCATTTACTGCTAACAAATAAACTGAACTCCTTAGGAATACGTGACCCATTATTAGGATGGCTTAAATCATTCCTTAACAATAGGTCCCAAATAGTTAAACTCGGGTCTGCAACCTCCAAACCTAGCCCTATCACTTCTGGTGTAGTACAAGGTAGTGTCATTGGACCCCTCCTATTTACACTATACATCAATGACATATGCGCTTGCTTCACGCACGGGAAACCATTCATCTTTGCAGATGACCTAAAAGTAGCTTATACATTCCAACGTGATGACTTAGGGAACTTCGAGAATGTAGTACAGAAGGAATTAGATAAAATGGCTGCTTGGTCGTCCCTATGGAATCTCCAATTTAATCTGAACAAATGTGGCTGGATCTGCTTCGGTGCACCCTCAATCGACCTGAAATTAACGCTCCAATCTGCTAACCTAACAAGACTCCGAAATGTCGTTGACCTAGGCCTGAGGTACTCTAGTGACTTGACATTCTCAGAGCAAGTAGCATCACAGACTAGAAAATCGAGGATGCTCTTAGGATGCATACTCAGGAACTTTCACGACAATGAAGCCAAGCTAATTCTGTACAAAACATGTGTCAGACCACTACTAGAATACTGTCCATTTATTATAAGCAGCACTCGCACACGTGACAAGCTAAGGATGGAAAGTATCCAACGATATTTTACCTCAAAACTGCTTGGCTACGATTGTAAGGAAGACTACATCTCACGGTGCATGATCCTAAAACTCGACCCACTTTGGACAAGGCGACTTATTATAAACCTAATATTCTTCTTTAAGGTCCTTCACAAAATATCTTTCTCAGGTAACAGGGACATACAATTCGCACAGGAAGGTTCTTACGATCTGCGTAACCAAACTTCCACAGTGACAACTCATTCTTTTAAGTCAACACTCCGTGAAAACTTCTTCACAGTCATGTATTCTAAAATATGGAATAGCCTACCCCTAGATATCAGAACTTGCTCTTCGGTTACAAGCTTCAAACGCTCTCTATACAGACTGTTGCACTCTACTGATTATATTAATAAACTATTTACTCCTAGAACGAATCAAGCACTAATCTACTACAGCACCTAAAAGACGCACTTCAACACCCTTAGCAATCTTTAAACTATAAATAAACTAGCAGCATGGATGCATAAAGACATAGTACGGAACATACAGGATTAGTCTACCCTTAGAAATAGGACCTATCCCTCATTGTAACCTTCAAACGCTTGCTATGTAAACTGTTTTATTCTAAAGACTATCCCTACCAGAACCCATTACTTATTTCTAAAACGCATCAGTCATTAGAACAATAAAAACGCTCAGACTATTAATACACATTATGACATTAAATAAACTCTAAGACTTCGCATAAATACGTGAAAACGCAGATACAATATAGAAAAATGTTTACTTAAGTATAATTAAGATAAACATTTATAAATGAATCATGTATTAATGTTCTTTTCATGTTCACATACTTTCTCTTTCTGGTATTTTGCTGCTCCTATTCATCTTCTGGTCGAGGTCGAACAACCCTGCATCTAAACTGAAATGAGGATTAATTCCAAACCGTCTATCTCATAACCACTCAAATTCCATGAACGATCCAATTCTACCATTTGAAGACGCTGGCGAACATGCTGTAAATGAGTATTCATGATCTGAAATGAAGAAGCAACTGGTTTTCAAACAGTTTTCAACGTTTTACTCAACTTACGAATACAGTCCGCCATGCAGACACAAATGGAGCAAATGGAGGATTCTGGAATCGACCTCGGCACCATTTGATGCAGTAAAACAACCCAACATGACCTTATTTAGTTTTCGTATCCACGATCAAATTTCTTTCCTGTTATGAAACTACGATAAGAGTGCTGAAAAAATGGAATAAATATATCACTGATCTCAACATAATACATCAATAATCTTTAAGCCATGGGTGCTGCTCACAACAAAGTTATATAAGAGAATTGACTTCAAGCTTTATTTTTCCCAGATATCTGTATTACATTCATCTGATGTCTGGGTTTTTTGTTAATGCGAAGACAATATTTCTATATCTCTTTATGTGCTACACAAACAGACTTTATAGCAGACTGTTCCTACTGACTCTAATGTCAGAAAGAACAACCAAACTGTAAATTCATTATACATTAAATTGTGTGTAATTTATATAATAACTTATCCATGCCTGTACAATTGGTATGTTCCTGCATAAACAGGAAGAAATATATATATATGACAGCTGTAATTTCTTGTGTCCCCGAGTGAGATAAACAAGTGATTTACTCGCTTCTGATTGGCCACTTTGTCTTTCGAGTTGGGGCAATTTCCAACATCATTTAGCTTCTTGGTTAAGTTATCAATTATCAGGAGCGTTTTATCAAGTCGAATAGATAACTGACAACACAAACTATTACAACTCAGGAGAGAAATGATATACCAGTGGATTTATTTGCTGAATTCAACTGATTCATACCATATCAAGATTTCAGGGCTTATCAGGAGTGTCAAGAATGCAAACAATGTTCTGAAGAGGTAATAACTTCAACTATCGCTTGACAATTATTTTCTGAGATCCTTAAATAAGTATAATATACGCAGTGGTCTAGTTAATCATGATAAAGGCGGCATGGTTGATGCAACGTATAAGTATACTTATGTATATGTAGGTATACTTCCATATACTGTATTCTTGTTACGAAGATCAGGAAACAAGTATCAAACGTCACAGTAGGCAGTGCAATACAGGTAAGCTACATGTTTTTAGTTGACATAAACTGGGTCTCCATCCACTTTTAGAATCAATCTTTAGTTTATTTGGAATAAGCTAGTTGACCACGTCAAAGCTGCGAGAATGAAGTGAAAGTAAGTAAACACCTGTTTTATAAGATTAAGTGGTACATTTTATTGATATGATTGTATTATTAGTACTTGTCTATCTAATTTAATGATGAATTCGTTGTGATAATAATACAGATTGTTTTTATAGTCACTATAAACATGAACGTTATCATTATCATTGCTGTCAAGACTCTTATTATTTGTCATAAAGCGGTGTCATTTATATTAAAATATCTGCACAAGCTTATGAAACTACTACATAACTTACTATTAATTAATTTTATCATTTCATGATGCTTCGATGGACCTACTAGATATCGATCAACGATAAATTGCGAAGTATCTTTATTTTATTTATTTTTTATTTTTATTTTTGATTACAGCTTGATTCCAAACTGCATTTTTGGTACATGTATGGAATTTTCAGCGTGGATATCGGTAGCCCAAAATTCGCAGGCCGACCATAGATATCAGGTGTGTGTCGGCGTGGGCTCGAACCCCGGACCATGTGCATGGTCGGCTAGCGTCCTAACCGATATGCCACCGACGCAAGTTTAGTGAAAACTGTTTAGTCACTTATATATTGTTTTAAAGTGATTACTTGTAGATACTTATCAGGTAGACATTTGAAAATTTTTTTATTCAGACTGTACACGTGATACCTTAGTTAGTAATGCTTTTCTTAAACCTTTGCAGACTTATGGAGAAACATGCATGTGTCGTGTACGGAGATGAACCTACTGACATTAACAGAGGACCACTTATCTGGATTATCTGTACATCTGAAATCTAATTTTTGCTCAATAAAAATTTTTTCAATGAATCTGTATTGCTTCTGTTGTAATGAGACAGTGTTCCAGTAACATTAGTAGCACGTGTTAAAGTAGGAATTGAAGGTAAACACTTAGGAGCAGATGCGACGTTACCACTATAAATACAAAATTTAAGTGAAAGAAAATACTAAATAATGCGTTAAATTGTGTACACTTACGTCATTCATTATTGTTCAAGCAGACAAAGTGGACATTCCATCTGACTGCAAAAACCAAATCTATGCAGTATAAGAAGTAAATAACATGTGAAAATAATTCCCGAGTATTTCTGTACATTTCCTGCAAATAGGTGCATGTGGAGGACCTTTGACACCATCACCTAATGTACACAACAAAATAAATGAAAATGACAAACAAAACGAACTAGCCTACCTCATTATGTCTGTGTCTACACCTTTGAGCTGTAAAACAACAGCACTAAAGTCGTCATAATGTGTGTCTTTAAGTAATTTGGCATTTTCAACAAAACACTAAGTAATTTAAATATTTGTAAATTGGCCGTAAATTACGACTTGATAAGGACACAATCATCTGTCATTTATGCTAAAACCTCTTTATTTCAGCAACTTTCAGCAGGAATACAAGCGAAAAAGTGCGTGAAACAATGAATAATTACCTAATTTTGTTGGTTTTCAATAGATATCGCGTATAGACATCAGCTGATCAAATGACCTACGGCCGTATACAGGCTGCCATTATATATATTGTAATCTCCATTTTCGGTGATGCCGGACTACTAATGGGTGAAAGGACAATCCTCACATACTACAAACTGTTAAATCGCCTGACCAATCTACTCACCACTTCTTTTGCAGCTTATCAATGATATGGTGGCCGAAGGGTGGAATACACTACTCAGGAGTCTACCAAAGATCATGGAAATTCATCTTAAGACCAATGAGCCCACACAAAGAAGTCATTTTGGCCAACACCAGCTCGTAAAGACTGCATTGAATATTGAAAACATATTGCTCCACCCGCTGCTTTCCTATTGAACGTCACATTATGTCTGAGGCTGAAGTTTGCGAGAAAGTTGATCTAGATGGCCGTAAAGAAGCTCAGGACAAGCTGTCCATAGCAAAGGAATGGGGAAGTATGTTTTAGTGGGGTTATTTTTTATCCAATGACAGGTTATTTTTTCTCAAAGGCTGTAAAATCCAGTGAGCAAGTCGTTAGGAATCTGGCAAATCGGATAGATTTAAATGAGATAAAGACGGCTGTAAACGACGTCACTTCAACTGTCAAACAGGTGAGTTTTCTTGTAGTGTTTTTATTGAGTATTATTAATGGATTCTGGCTTTTATAAACTGCGGATGCATCTCCCCAGCTAGCATTTTATTCGGGCGCACAGCCGAACGTGGGACAAGGCCTCTAAGCCAGCCCTTAACATTCTGCGATGCGATCGAAGTCACTGCTAGCTGGGTCAGGCAAGACGCTTTTCTCAGCAAACCTACGGCGAAAGGGTTGGTTTACCTCACGGAGTGGGACGTACATAAATAACCACATTTGTTAAGATATTCGCAGGGATCCATAAGTTTCCCTTGAGTTGCCTGAAGTGCCTCTGAAGTTTTCGAGAGTCGACTGAATTCATATAACTTAATTTATCAATGATTACTTGAACTGGGCATAACTCTACAGTTTTTTTTTTAATTTTTATTTATCTGTTATTTTTTTGGCGTTGTTTCTTTCATTTATTTATTTTTTTGATTTTAAAAATCTTATAAAATTTATGAGGTAATTAGATACAATATATTGTAATGCACGCTGAAAATTCCAAACCTGTACCACAAGTACCGTTTGGAATAAAGCTGTTGATATTATTATTATTGTTATTATTATTATCATCAACTACTCTTAGTTTAACAGCATTACACTGACTAGCTGAAATAAACATAAGGCTTCAGAAGCTTCTAAAAATGTCTCTAGCGTACTCGGAGTTGTGCAAAAACTAGCTGAGGATCTGAGTGTCGTAACTCTGGAAGCTGTGCACAATACCTGAAGTTTTTTAAAATGTATCAACTTACGACTAGCTGGAATACCATAGATTTTTTTGAACGGGTCCTTTTCAAGTTTGTACGACTATGATAATAGCATGCTGTCAGAGACAGTGAGAAAGTATCAGAAAAACAGAGTCTCCAATATCATAACCGAACAGAGTATCAGTATTCCGTCAGAAAAGTGAAACGAATAGGTTCTTTCGAACTCTGTCATCTGGGGGTCACACCGTATTTGCCACTTTCCTTAAGCTTTCAACATTTCAACAGCATCTAGTGTTGTAACATCTCGGTGAGTTCTAAAGAGCTCTTTTCTTGAGGATTTGTCTTACATCTCTTTGAAGCTCTTGTGTACATTCCTCATCTCGATGGTAACATACATCTCCGTCTACAGTTCTCCCCTGCATACACTTGATTTAGATGCAGCTGACTTTAGAGAGCTTTCAGATATGTCACCTGACAGACAGTCTGGAAAGCGACTGTACTTACAAAATATCAGATTGCCTTGAAAAATCATTAACCCCGTTTGCTTTTGGAAATTTGTACTGAATTCGAATTCTGTTTACTAGTATAGTTTAAGGAGACACTCATCGGCTGGCTTAATAACTGACACGATTAATATGCAACCAAACGTCATTAGATGTATATGCCTAACTGTTTCTTATCGTCCAAACCTCTGCGATAAGGACCTTATTCGTTGCTGGAACCTTGACTAATAAAAGTTGATAATTTATCTACCAAAACCATTACGCTATTATTATTATTATTCAATGTTGAGTTAGGTTAAGCCTTCATTTGATTTGTCATCTATTTTGATACCTTCGGCTAACTATAGTCAGCATGACTGCTAGACCTTGTAAATCTGGTCTCTATAAGAATAAGTTCACTTTTCAAGACGTTTTAAATATCGGTTACTATTATATCTTTCATAAAATAATTAAAAGGTTATTTATGTTAAATTTTCTGTATACCTATTGAGATCCCATTAGCAGCTGGTATGAATGAATTCAAATTTATTGATTTGTCATTGTAAGCAATTGATTGGTCACTACAGTGTAATCATCGTCGTCTTGTCCTAGTCTTAGTGCTGAAATAATCCATTGTAATCACTCTCCCAGGAGATTTCGGATTGTTGGAGGTAAAGAACTGGAAGCCTTTGACTAAGATTTTTGGCTTATCAATATTTATCAGTAAGGTGTATCTGCGACCTAAGATATTGCTATCATTTCAGGAACATCACAAGATTTTTAATTTAATAGGATCATTTCTCTTCATCTACAAGGTAAAAATAACAAGATTCTTTGACGCTATTCAGTCTCTTCACAATCATGATGTTCATTTTTATGTTTTGCCAACTACTTATTACTCTTTAAAGAGCAGTCTACATTTAAAATGTGAATAAATATTAATTATTAATCTCCTAGGTTCCACTCATACGTGAATTTCAACAGGCTCAAGCTGATTTTGCAGAGGCTCATCAGTCTAACCAAAATGAGACAGTTGATTTTCACGTATCAACACTATCCGATCTTCCACCATGGCATCCTGATGTATCTGGTTTAAGTGATCCTAATGCTGTTTCTGCATTAAAAGAAAACATTTTAGCTTTAAGTCAAAATCCAAATAACTTTCTAATCCCTCCACCTGAAGAAGCTCAACTCAAATGGATTACACCGATACCTCAAAATTTACTACACGAGGCCCAAGTTCTTCTTAAGGAAGATCCTAATTTATCTGCTGTACGATATCGTCTTGTGCCAAGCAAGTAAGTTTTGTACGCTGTTTGGTAAAATAGCCTTAAAGCTTTTTGTTGACAGTATTAATTTCCAGTTGTCTAAAAATTTTCAAGGTTTCGTGTCCGAACATTCACGATTGATCTACTATTAAAGCTGTGAGAAGCTGACCATGCTTGCTTCTGTACGCTTAAGTTCCTTTGATGGCACCTTTTTAACATTCACTCCTGCCAAGTGAGGTTGTTTGAACCCAATTATCCGGGTGGATGGGTGTTTCATGTACCAGGCTAAGAGCCACACGTATTTTTGTGAGAGGTCCCAAGGATACTACCCAGTTGCTTAGAATGAAGTAGATGGAATGGGACTTGAACCCGTAGACCTATTTACTGAAAGCCTATTTCTTAAGCCAATAAATCAAATCTTCACATTAAATATTTGTTTTTCTATTCCCTATTTAATGGGGGTCTGAAATTCCAAGAGGTTTTAAATTGATGTTTCTCATGTACCATGCGTCTGTTAACCTTGTATATCTAAACTTTGCTTCCTTTCTAACATAAATGTTTTAATGTGGTCAAAAAGCTGGTGGGACTTCTCGCTCTCTTCATCCTCTGTATAAATCAAATAGGCAGAGAATGCATATAATTTCGGCTATTGAGGTGAACTAATCGTAAAATACTACTAAATAGGGCATTCATATATTAAGAGTATTCACCTTAATTTTGAGGAAAATTCTGGCTTTCAGATTTTATTAGTTCTGCAATTTGTTGGTAAAGACAAACATGCAATGTGGATCTCGTTTGCTTTACACTTTATATGCTTTCTTGCTAATGTCTTCTAAGTACAATAAGCACTGAGAACTTCCTCTTATCACGGTAGTTACCGATAAAATAATTAGTGTTATTTTGGTAGTCATGTACCTATCTAAAAATGAACCACAGGCTGCAAGATCCATATTGTGTAGGTTTATTATAATTCCTGGTTGCCTAAGTTTCTGTGGGTGTGCGTCGGCGTTTCAGTGGTAGAATGGTCGTCAACTATACATGTGGCCTGGGGTTCGATTCCTGGCCGGTGCACACCTTTACATACCTTTGACGACTGTAGGTTGGACAAAGAGAGAAAGTCGGGCATGAGGCTAACAACTCGACTCCGTAAAAAGCACCAGTGCTACAGAAACTTCATCAGAACTCCAACTTGAATCCCTTTGTTCCACTCGGAGCTCAAACGAATAAAAAGAAAATCGTAGTTCAGTATTTTTCCAAGTGGCAGAATGCTTATCACTCATGCGGGTGGTTCGGGTTCGATTCTACCTCTGAATCTGACGTAACCGATGGTGAGCCTAGAAGGGAAAAGGATGGAAGTGAATCTGACAACCTTACCGCCTAAGAAATATTACTGTCACCATTGAAACTTCAAAGCTTGAAGCCCTTTATTCCACCTGAACTGAACAATTTTTTTCCCGAAACTAATAAGGCACATGTTTAAGTCGCATTAATAAATTCATGTAGGGAATCACTTCGTCCTAATCGCTCATTATTTTTATAAATATCTAGATAAACATTTTAAGCATATGACGATTAGATGCTTGAGGTTTAGCTATTCTAAATGGGGCTCACGAGACAGTTAAAATCATCGTTTGGAAGCTCTAGGTGTAATTGTTTAGGTACACTCATATTTCACCCTCATAAGTATCATCTTTTGTTTTGTAACGCATCACATTTTGTTACTTGGTTTGGTCTTATCACATTTCACAATTTTCGTTTATTTTATTTACTTTATCTTGTACTTCGTCATGTTATGTATATATAGTGTGTACCAAAAAGGAGTGCAACAATCACACTATTCACTTGTGCTTAAACGTGTGAATAACTCAGGCCTCATATATTCTTTGTTTGATATATTTTGTAGGTATCACAGCTAATATAGATTTTTAAAAATACTTAGTAAGCCTTTTGTCATTATCTGTATGGTATGTACTGAGCTGTATGCAAAGTGTAGCTGTAGCTTGTGACTAAGCTCACCGCTGCAGGTTAACCGTCAAAAAAGTAGACATTTTCGTGTATCTAGGTAGTTGTGTGACTGCCGGCGGAGGTGTGATGAATAAAATCTCCAATACTATAATGAAAACCAGGGAGGCATACGCCAATCTAGGACATACCAAGCTGTCAAGATTGTGTTTACAACACTTCGGTGCGCATAGTCTTTCTCTCTACGCCGGTAAAGCTTGACCTCCAAAGTAAAGATGTGAGGCGACTCTGCATGTTTCATTGATATAAGGATAAAACTTGTGCACTGTGGTAGAGTGTAATTCCATTATGGGTAAATTTTGTTTTGATAAAGTCTCACATTGTTATACAGTAATGTTTACTGATGACGTTTCGAGCACAATTTATTGCTCATAATCATATCAAAGTAATCACACGACTTCCTAAATTCATTTATATAGTTCCATTGTTTTTCTCTTGATTTTCACTTGATTTGATTGGTAATAGTATTTTCTATATTTCAGGTATGAGTGACGAGTCATTCCTATTGCATGTGTTGGGTGTAGACTCGATGAACAAGGATTCAGTAATCAACCTCTCTCTCCACCTACCTAGATTACTTTTTAGAATTTTAACCCTCTCCCACCCTATTGTGTGGTTGTGTGTTAGCGCATGCATTGCAATTGCTGAGCTTTTTTCTAAATTACTTATCTTCTCGGGACTTTAATTCGTCTCATCCTTTAACTGTTAAGGCAGGCTTAGTTAAATGTTTAACAAACCGAGCAGTGGCACTAAGTAGCACAAAAAAGATCTAAATGATGAATTAAAACAGATAGAAGAAGCGTTGGTGTTGAATAACTATCCTATAAAATTCATTAGGAAGATCATTAAAGGCCAAAAACAAAATAAAAATAATTGTGAAACTAGTAATAATAACATAAATAAGAAAGAATATAAGTCATCCACAGTTATAACATATAAAGAGGGGACATCTGAGACAATACGTAGGATTCTGAATAAAATAGGAATTAGGGTGGCATTTAAACCTACAAACTCACTCAGGGACAGGCTCTGTAGGTTAAAGGACCCAGTTGACCCAATTAGACAAAATAATATTATTTACAAAATACCATGCAATGACTGTGAGGTCAACTACATAGGTCAAACTAGTAGGTCAGGGGTGGTCAGATTGCCAGAGCATAAGAATTTAGCTAAGGTAAGAATGGTTGACCCCGAGAAGATAAGTAATTTAGAAAAAAGCTCAGCAATTGCAATGCATGCGCTAACACACAACCACACAATAGGGTGGAAGAGGGTTAAAATTCTAAAAAGTAATCTAGGTAGGTGGAGAGAGAGGTTGATTACTGAATCCTTGTTCATCGAGTCTACACCCAACACATGCAATAGGAATGACTCGTCACTCATACCTGAAATATAGAAAATACTATTACCAATCAAATCAAGTGAAAATCAAGAGAAAAACAATGGAACTATATAAATGAATTTAGGAAGTCGTGTGATTACTTTGATATGATTATGAGCAATAAATTGTGCTCGAAACGTCATCAGTAAACATTACTGTATAACAATGTGAGACTTTATCAAAACAAAATTTACCCATAATGGAATTACTCTGCATGTTCGGTAACCAAATGCACCCATAGAATTCCTTTTACTTGGCACCATCATCCTATAAGTAATTCTAACGTCCGGTGTTTTCATGATGCTGTTCCTTAATCTACGCTATTTGTATAGCCTCCGCCTTTAAAGTCATCTGCAAGGCAAAGAGTAATTTACGCAAATCCCTACGTACCCGAATGATCTACATATAACAGTAAAAAAAGGCACAAACAGCGAAGAAAATTTTCTTTTCGACGATTCATTTTCATGAGCTATACAGTCGTAATTATATTTAACAAAGAAATGCTTAGACCAATCAGATACTGGTAAATTTTGTCCTTGAAAAATTGTATTACATAATGTAAGGTGTAAGAAGGGATGACTTATTGTAAGTTAGAAAAGAGAAAGAAGCTGGCATGACGTAATAAGTGTGAGATAATGACTAATCAGTAAACTCGTGTACAATGGACAGGAACTAGTGGAAAGACTATAAAGTATTTTTGTATAAAATCTGTATGAAAAATCAATGTTATTAATAAACAGTAATGTAATGGTAATAAAATATGGATGGTGAGAATAATAATGATAATAAAAGTATTAATAATAATAATAGTGAACTTAAATAATGAAGGAAAGAAGCAAAACTGTAGTAATAACTTTACTCTGGCCATGGTAGGGCCAGAGAATGTATGTATCGCTTTTGAATGCAGAGGTCCGGTTTCAGATCTCGAATAGCTAATGCTTCAGCTATGTACTGATGGCCTATCCGAGGTCCCTTTGTACGATATTGAGGGACTCTGTGTATCACTGTGAAGCATTCGTATTGGAGTACTCGATGTCCGGAGATGACAAGGTGTTCGAGGATCGAGCTGTTGCTATTCTTCTTTTCTCCTCTGGCTAACCAAGCTGGACACTGTTCGAGAATACGTTTGTGGACTTGACGTTGCGTACGGCTGATATACTTTGCTCCACATGAGCAAGTAAATTGATTAATACATATTGAAGTGGTCAAAAGCGGCATCTTGTCCTTACTGTTAGACTGGATTAACTGTCTGAAAGAGAATGTGATATGTAGGGTGGCTGTTGGAAATGTCTTCTCCAGACATTTAGAAAGGCGGTTTCTAAGAATTTCCGCTGCGATATCACCTTTGAATTCTAGGTTCATGAAGGGAATCTTCTTAGGAACCGTTGCAATGTCTAACACTGGAGGCTTCTCCTTCGTGTTTTTGTCGATAAATCTTGGTGGATACCTATTGTCTAGTAGGGTTTCACATAATAAATTTAATTCTTTCTCTACCATGTCTTCCGAGCAGATTTTTCTAATCCTTGAACACAATGTACGTACCAGGTTTCTCCTTTGGATCTGTGGCCAAAGCTCATACTGTCTAGTCTGGTACTATCTGAATTCTGTCAGTTGTTTGCAATGTGATTTGCCATTGAGTTGTATACATCTAATTGGTATTAAGAGGTGAGAAGGTAGTCAGTAAGAATCCTTAGATCTGAGTTTCTTGTTCATTAACACTCCTCAACAGGGTGTATGTGTAGCTTCGAAGAAATTAATATCCCTTCAGAGATTTGAATGAATATCACTCGCTACTGCAGTCGGAGATGTGTTCTCATAACACTGTTCATGGATGAAACGTGTATTGAGGGCTTTCTATCAATTGTCTCTAAATATTCAACACCAGTTACATTGATATAACGTGGTTATGAATAATGCATTGTGTTCAAAACGTTATCATCCAGTAAATAATTCTCTTTCACTATGTGATATATCCAATAAACACCTTACTTCTTTTCTATTCTTTCCACTACAGAATAAGTGAAGATATATTCTGGAGAAATTATTTCTATCGTTTATCTTTAATACGACAATCTGCTCATCTGTCTGCTGTGATGGCCAATTCTCATTCACAAAATATGACTAATAGCAATGTTAGCAGTGGTGGAAGTGATAATGGTGTCTCAGATACAGATTTTGTATGCATTGAACAAAGTAGGTTGTGACGTTTTATGTGTCTGTACTTTCTTCCCACCATAAATCTTCATCATGAGGCATACCATTTTGCCATTCTTTTATGTCGTAACACTGCTAGTTTTTTGAAATTCCCTCTTCCTGTGCTTATTTGACACTCATGTTACCCTCATTGCCCGTTCTATTGCCTATTCTTTTAATGTTTCATAGACTTATAGATACCTTTATTAGGATAATTATTATGTGTTAGCTCAGCGATGCTTTTGAAGTGAATACGAGAGTAGGACAACTCTGCCTTACCATCATCTATGATATCCCAGATTGTGGTGGACTGGATCATGCGCCAGACCTTGGAGAGACAGAAGATAAGAATACATTGTACAGACAAGAAGATTGTAGAAGATTACGACTTCGTGGACGATTTATGTTTAGTGTTACACAAACTCGAAGATCTACATGCGAAAACCACTATCCCCTTTTCTATTCAATTTCATCATAGATGCACACACTAATGAACTTAACCCTAAGTCACTTCAGAGACTCAGGGATTGACTTGCTATCAGGGAATAATCTCGTTGACTTAGAACATGCAGATGACATAGTCTCTCTAGGTGAGGACGCTGACAAAATAGAGCAAAGTCTTCTGAACACCTTGACCTGCAGTCTACGAATGTTTGGCATGCGATTCGCTCCCGCCAACTGTAAGATGATGTTACAGGACTGAACTACACTGCCTCCTAGTTTAGGAATAGGAAGTGAAGTGGTAGAGCACGTTGACCGCTTCACTTATTTGGGAAGTACCATCAGCCAACGCCAAGGGGTTGATCTCTGACGATATCTCAGCACGGATACACAGGGCTTGTGATTCCAGGCTATCGACCAAAGGGCGGGTGTACTGATCATCAGTCAGCTCCGTCCACCTTTATGGCTATGAGCCAGACGTGGCCATTGAGAGTGGAAGACATGAAAAGATTAGCTGTCTTTGATCATAGGTGCCTGCGTTCTATCTCCCGTATGAAGAGGTATAATAAGGTGACCAATATTGAGGTTACGCTTCTGTCGAGTACTAGACTAGGTAAGGGGGGGGGGAATCAATCGACGCGGCTGTGAAGTTACATCGACTGAGATGGTTATGATATGTGTTACGTATGCCTAGTCATCGCCTTCCTCGACGGGAAATGTTAGCTGACATAGGGTCAGGCCGGAAAAGAGCTAGCCAGTGGCGGTCAAACCAAAACATGGCACCAGTCAGTCAAATCCACAGCAGTTAGTTTAAGTCACGTAGGAAGGTGTAGACTTCCTGGTTGGAGTTCTCGGGACGTTAAAAACCAATGGTTGGAAACAATTGGTGATATGGCTCAAAATCATTCTCAATGGCTGGCGGAGATTCATCCACTCCCTGTGACTTACGATTTCCAATGAAACTGTTTTGTTCTTCATTACTACTATTCCTTTGTCTCACACCTCTGTTTAGTGTCTCTATTATGCATTTCTTCTCTTGCTTTGTGTGCTACATGGAGTGGAGTGTGGCGACTTGAACTGCTGCACATTTGTGCAAAGTTCTAAGTCGAAAGTAGACAGACAGACATGCGAAAACTAGCAAGTTGGCAGAAGTAGAATCGAATTTTTCCTCTACTCATACTCTGGGGAATAAGACTGACTGAGATGACGTTTCGCACCTATGCAAAAATATATTCGCCACGACTAGAGATATTGATGATTCCATGATAACTTTGTCGGACCGTTTGTATATATGTTTCCTCAAAACCTAGATACTTTAGGAGTCAAAAATAGTCGCACTTCTAACATCATGTTCTCTTTTGATACCTAGCTCCCTATGTCTCAGTTTTTTGTACGAATTCAGTTCGTTCCTAACAGCTTTTACAGACATGTTTAATTTAGTGTATTCACGTATACAAGCTGATATCTCGATATCAGCATTATTCTTATCACTGTTATTATTATTCCTTTGGGTTCTGGTTGGAACCTAAGGCTTCAAAAGCACATTCCCATTTCTTATTCTCTGCAGTAGCATTTAGCTGGCTCCACTATTGTCCATAAGCTTTCATTTCCTCTTCGCACAATCTCTCCCATATCACTCGTTCCATGCTCAACTCGTCGTCTCTCCATCAGGTTCCACTTGAGGGCCTGGTGCGGTATGCTACTCAATGGTCTCTTCTGTGTATTTCGAATTTATGTCTCTTTCTTTATGCGTACTTGTTGGGCGATTAGTTCTTGATTGGTTTATTTGCCAGTGCTCCTTGTTTATGACTGGTTTTGTGGTCTTTTAATGAATATCTGTAATAACCTTTTGGAGATGCTCCTCATGACGTGAGCATCAAGTCTATGAACCGTATAGCGAAGCACTGACTTGACATTAGGGCTCAAAAATCTGAATCTTGTTTGTTTTTCTGAGTTCAACTGATTTCAGAATAATGAAGATCTCTCATGCATTCCCGATTCTGGCTTTGACATCTGCTTGTATCTGAAACAATGCTACCTAGATAAGTGAAGAAAATGACTTCCTATAGATTTATCCCGATGCTGATTGGTGCTGGTTGTTTTTATTGTTGGTCGTCAGGTATCTTAATCACTGGTGCCTTCCCCGCGTTCACTTGTGGTCCTGTCTCCACCACCTTCTCTTATCAACTGTCCCTTCTCACTTGTAGATCTTCAAGTCTGTGTGACATTTAAGGCATAAATCATCCGCAAATTTCAGATTTTCCAATATCTTATTGTCCGTTCAACGTATATCTGTCTCCTTGTCCCCCACAGTCTGTGGCATAATCCAGCCCACCACACGCCAAGATTATAATCGGTGATAGTAGACGGACTTCTTCTACTTCTGTCTTCACCTCAAAGATAAATGACAATAATATATCCACGGATTTTTTTTTACATAATTTATTACTCAAGCTATTACCCTTTTGGTTATGACAAATAAAAGGATTAAGAACGGCAAGAGGAAGACAAACAAATTAGTCGACTGTTAGGAAGCTAAACAACGACAGGATCAATATTATTCTTGACGTAACTTTGAATATGTATATTCAAAATAAATACGGAATTAATTTTAATCTGGATTTAGACACGGACGAATTGTTTCTTTCACTGTATAAGCGTAGCGTAAATATAATTATGTAACGAAAGATCTATGAAAAACAAAATGTATTCACTTGAAAAAAAACACGTATATTTTCACCTTACATACCATGTAAGGAAGTTTATTCACCAACAGTATAAACGGAATAATACGCTTTTAAAAATAACTACCTAAATACAAAATGATGAGTGCAATAATTCGTACATGATGCGCACCATGCTGTACAGTGGGGGACCCCTCACAGCGAACGATGAGTAGTTGAGGGCGAGTGAGCCGAGGATGACTTGTGGGGGAGGATTGTGTGAGGAGAAAGTCGAAGGCTGTGGGCAATCATGTAGCCAGCTAAAAATGACTGTAGAGAACATCCTGAAATGGAGTCGTGCTGTTGAAGCGCCCTATGTTCCACTCGGAACCCAAAGGAAATAATAGAAATAATAATAATTTGTGTCTTAGTGTCATATCGAACTACACCTGAAAGTGTTTTTGAGTAGGAAGTAGTGGAGTCGTACTACTGTCACATGTGTGTAAGGCGGCGTCTTCAGGGGGTGGGTGGGTATAATTAGAGCCTTGGGCAGTTATGGCTGGAAACCTTACATAAGATTGGTAATAAGCCAAGAATAAGATTAACAGTGTACTGGAAACAAAGCTAAAGAATTCTGTGGAATCCATTATACAAAGCAGTAATATTTTTCTATCGAATACATGTGAAGTTGTGAGTACACAGGTCACAGTATTTAGACTGAGATCATTTTAACTAGTGGAGCACAAAAGCTTAAGGAAATCTACACTAGTACGCCCTACTTTAAATGAAATTTTTGAAAACAATGGTCAGTCCTAACATTTCATGGAGTTACACACAATCAAGGCATATAGTGGGAAACTGATGAACTGAATGGCTCAACATCTGTACTGGACATCTGGAAATAATAAGATAAGTGAGATGATATTAGATAGTTGGAGGCAATCGGCCACAAGAAGCCCCACTTGACCGAGGTTTCGTGCTAGTTGGCACTCACCAGTCACCAAGGCGTATCTGCAACCTTGAACGAACTCATGTCAATCGCGAGCCCCAATAGCTTACTGGTAACGTCTCTGACTGCAGTACTCACTGGGTGACGCGGGTTCAAATCTCAGAAGGGACATGAGTTCCTTCAAGGTTGCAGATACTCCTTGGTGACTGGTGAGTGCCAACTAGCACGAAACCTCGGTCAAGTAGGGCTTCTTGTGGCCGATTGCCTCCAACTATCTAATATCACCAAATCAATGTGTACCGTGATGGTGAGATACCTGGAATGGTGGCCACATTGCAAACCTGACTAATAGAATTCAGTCTGCACCAAACAAAGGACTACACACATCACAATAGTTAGTAGTGTCCAATAAAGATAAGTGAGAACTATGAAAATAAATCTTCACAATCGTAGACTTACATATCTGATATGAAAGAACAAAAATTGATTGTGCTTAAAACGCACTATCCAATCAATATTACTGTTACCTTGTCTGACTGACATATTTGTATAATATGCAGAACTCATATGGAACTAACTGCCTACTACAACAATGTCTAGACGTTACATACTTATGTATACGTAGGATTAGCTTAGAGAAATGTATGAGTGATTTGACCAAAATATGGTACTAATCTAACATCAACAATCCTGAGTGTACTGTAATGGCGAGCCACCCAGTGACATGGTGGCCACATTGCAAACTTAACTGTGAGAGAATTCAGTCTGCACCAAACAAAAGGGCTAGACACATCACACTAGTTACTAGTGTCCAGCCAAACTAATTCACATAAATTCTGACTGTTCATCACCTCAGTGAGCTATTTGAAGAGACTCAGGTCGTTAATTTGTCAAGATCCAAATAGTCTATAAGGCGATGAAGTAAGTGAAGATTAGGAAAAGGCGACAGAAGTGTTGAAATGAGATGCAGTAGATAATTTATAAATTCCCATAATGATAATTATAGAACACGATTTAAGCAAGCAAATATGTATTCTCGGTAAATTCTCATCGGGCTTTATACTTTTTCACCCTAATGAAATATTAATGGTCATAATGTAACAATAGAAGACAAGGGTCAGGCAACAGATCGTTTATTAAGGACATCAACACGTATTTATATATTTTCATGTACATTATTATAGGTTATTCAAGCAAACGAACACAGTCTTCTGATTGGTTGTTTCTTACAGAAAGTTGACTTTGCATCTCTTTGTGACTGTTTCTTGAATGTCAGGTCATCTATATGTTAACTGTATCTGCCTACGCCAAGTCTGCTGTGATTGGTTGCTGAGTCAGTCTTGTTCATATTTTTCACACGACTAATATTGGGGACATAAACATTGACGTAAATAATTGTCTACCAATTTAGCTAGCAGCCTGCTCTCACCACAATAGGACTTTGAATTAATGTGGTTAATAGGATGTCAACGATCAGAGTTCAGGGGTGTGGGTTAATTGTGGATAACAATCGAGGTGATCATAATAATAATGATAATAACTTTCTATAGTTTGGTTTATAAGGGTTAATTTTGTGTTTTACGAGTTTGACCACGGATTGATATCAGTTGGAGAACCATTGAAAACCAGCAGGAAGTACTGGACAGCTGTTTCACCCTAGTCTAGGAATCATCGGCAGTACGCACCCACTGGGGTTAGAATTCATGAGCCATTGAATCGGTTCCCAGTGTCTGAATGGCATATGAGCCAGCTTGCCTTGTAACCAGAAGGTCCTGGGTTCGAACGCCCCCTATGTTGGGTGCGTACTGACGATGATTCCCAAACTAGGATGAAACAGCTGGCTGTCCAGTACTCCCTACTGGTTTTCAATGGTTCTCTAACTGATATCAATTCGTGATCAACTCGTAAAAAACAGTAATAATAGAGATAAATTCATTCAAGTGTTTATATATAATCTAGGCAGTGATGATGAGTGTGTATAGGTAGAATGTGTATAATACTAATGATAAATTGTGAAACCGAGAATAGAATGTACAACTACAGCACAGCATGATAATAATAATACAGTTAGCACTACGTATATTCTTTTACTTTAATTGTAATGCTAACTGTATTATCAATATTATGTTGTACTGTAGTCGTACATTCTATTCTCGGGATCACAATTTACCATTAATATTATACACATTCTACGTATACACTCATCATCACTGTCTAGATTATATTTAAACACTTGAATGAATTTATCGCTATTATTATTATTATGATCACCTTGGTTGTTATCCACAATTAACTCACACCCTTGAACTCTGATCCTTGATAATTCTATTGACCACATTAATTCAAAGGCCTATGACCGTTAATATTTCATTATGATAAGAACGTTACTCTGGGTATGGTAAGGCCAATGGATGTATGTAGTGCTTCTGAATTCAGAATTCTGGTCTCACGTCCCGATTAGCCAATAATTTGGCATATTTGAAGTGCTTTCGTGAGATATTGGGACTGTGTGTTACACTGTGAAACAGTCAGGAGGCGGTGGGGGTGATGCTGGATGTCCAGGTGTTCCAGGATAGAACTCCAACACACAAATACTGAGTCAGACACACTCACCACAATGTCACTTACTCTAACACACCGAATGCTCAATCAGATTGATACTAGCCAGTGGGAAAAATGCACATAGGTAAATTAGTGAAAACACGGTTGAAATGGGCAATTTCGATCGGTTGAAACGTGGGAAAAATGTGAGTAAAACGCACCGTAGAATACCTATTCTTTCTGGAGCCACTAGGTGTGATATTGATTTGGTCCGTCAGGCAGTCAGTGTGTCAGTTATTGGGAGTTAGAGAGTGGGTGAGAGAGTAAGTGATTCAGTGAGACAGTCAGTGAGTGAGGAATCAGGCAAAATGAGTAGATTTTTAGTTGTTGTTTGTGCCGTTGATATGTGTATCTGTAAGTGATAGTATATGTGTGTGTTTTATGCAGTGGTATGTTAAAATGATATTTGCAAGGAAATGCATCTGTCGGCGACCATACCATATTGTAAAAACTGGTTCTCATCCGATCACCGGAGCTAAGCAACGTTGGGCCCGGTTAGTACTTGCATGAGTGACCGGGTGTTGGTGCCTTTTGACACTTCACACAATCATACATTATCTGCAAAACTCACGCCCGAGCATCCCCACATGCATTCGACGCCTCCCTCCTCCCACAGTCATTATCACACACTCAGTCACTCACTGACTCATTCTTCTTCTCTCCTCTGGCTTATCAGGCGATACAGTGTCCCAGGATACGTTTGTAGAGTTGATGTTGTTTACGGCCGATATACTTTACTTCACAGAATAAAAATAAACGTGATAAATACACATCCCATCCTTAAAACTTGCTTGGATTAACTATCTTGTGGAGAATATGATTCATGAGATGACTGCTTGAAGTGTTATCTTCAGACACTTAGAAAGGCAGTTTCGAAAAACTTCTACTCGAATGACACCTTTGAAATCTACATCCATGAAGAGAGTTTTCTTAGGAATAGTTGTAACCTGTGGCGACGGATGTTTTCATTGATAAATCTGAGTGGTTATTCGTTTTTCAGTCGGATATCACGTAGAGAATTGGAATGTGCAGTAGATAACTTGAAATGTCTTGTCGTTAGCACCACTTGTGTATGCTCAGTATCTTCAACAACAGGTGAGCTAAAACAAGTACTACGAAAATAGACCTTGTTTGTCTCCTTTTGCTTAACTATACAAAAGGATGTTCAGGAATCCGGTCACATCATGCCTAATTGTATGCTCAATGTAACTTCCGCTCCAACGGAGTTGTCAAGCTGGTAGACACATCGATGTTGCTACTATTGTAAAGAAGAAAAGACCGATGAGGCTTGAAGGGATATTGATTACTACAAACGCATTGTAGGTACATAAATCTGGTATACCTTATCTTCAATGCTTTATTTGCACATCATTCGGTAAATTGGTCGAATATCACCACATTGGATATCCTTGTTGAAGTCTGCACAGTGTTTGTTGTAAAGTTGTTCGCACCAGTTCTCTTTTTCGATTGCCTTTTTTTAGTGTCCAAAACATATTGTTACTTTTCTGAATTCGTTTACTGATATACTACTTATATCTGATTATAAGTACCACTCACCACACTATTACTATTATTAGTATTAATTATATTTAACTTTTTTGCTTTCAGATCCTATATGGTCTCGTGGTAAAACAACTTCAGAAATGATGATGAAAGAGACTAGTGAAGGTGTTTCATCAAAGAAAAGTGAAAAGCCTAAACATTCTACAACAAAATTGAAAGCATCAACACCTACTAGTGAACCGTCAAAGAAATCCACCTCCTCCCATTCATCATCACCATCATCAACAACAACAACAACAATGAAGAATAAAACTAAACAGCAGCAGATTGATGAGTCGAAAAACAGTAGAAAATGTTCATCGAATTCTCCTTCAAATAATTTAAAAACGAATACCGATAATACTTCATCTAGTGAGTTTTATAGGTATTTTACAATTTATTTCCTGTGAGGTATCATGTATGTGTGTGTGTGTGTGTAAGTGATAGGCCCAAGGAATGCGTATAAAGTTAGGTTTAAAAATTTAACATAAAAGCGTATACACTACTAATTCATAGAAGTAGTCAGAAACCACTCACGTCAGTAGTGTTTGGTAACCAGATCTAAGTTATCTAAACATGGGGTCAAGATCATTAGTGGTGTACCCGGATTGACTGAACTCAGATGACTGACTGAGGTAGTTGAAATTATCCCAGTGTGCTGGTTGACGTAAGTGGTTTACAACTATGAAAGTTGACTTAGAATATGCAGATGGTATAGCCTTTCTAGGTGAAGACGCTAACAAAATGCTCAGTCTTCTGAACACGCTGAGGAGCAGCAGTCTGCGAATATTTGTAATGCGATCCGTTCCTGTCAAATGTAAGATGATGTTACAGGACTGGATTACACTGACTCCTAGTTTAAAAATAGGGAGTTAGGTGTTGACCATTTCACTTACTTGGGAAGTACCATCAGCCAACGCCAAGGGGTTGATCTCTGACGAAATCTCAGCAAGGATACAGAGGACCGTTTCGTATATGCCAGTTTACGCCGCCTCTGGCGTAGACGTGATATCCGGCTGGCTATCTACCAAAGGGTGGGTGTACTGCTCACCAGTCCTATCCGTCCTCCTTTATGACTGTGAGACCTGGCCATTGAGAGTAGAATATATGAAAAGACTAGCTGTCGTTGATCATAGGCGCCTGCGTTCTGTCTCCCGTGTGAAGTGGTATAATAAGGTGAGCAATATTGAAGTTGGATGTCGAGTTCTAGGTAAGGAGGGGAAATCAATCGACGAGGCTGTGAAATTGCATCGACTGAGATGGTTAGGACATGTGTTACGTATGCCTAGTCATCGCCTTCCTCGACAACGGGCAATGTTAGCTGGTATAGGATCAGGCTGGAAAAGAGCTATCCAGTGGCGGTCAAACCAAAATATGGCACCAGTCAATGAAATCTACAACAGTTGGTCTAAGCCACGTAGGAAGGTGTAGACTTCCTGGTTGGGGTCCTCAGGACGTTAAAAACAAATGGTTGGAAACAATTAGTGATATGGCTCAAAATCGTTCTCAATGGCACATATGTGTCCACTCCTTGTGACTTATCATTTCCGATGAAACTGTTTTGTTCTTCGTTATTACTATTGCTTTGTCTCACACCTTTGTTTGCTGTCTCTATTATGCATTACTTCTACTTACTTCTCTTTCTTTGTGTGCTACATGGAGTGGAGTGTGGCGACTTGAACTGCCGCATAATTGTGCAAAGTTCTAAGTCGAAAACAGGCAGAAAGACATAGAGATACGGAGTGAAGTGGTTGGTGGTGCGTGTTGACCACTTCACTTATTTGGGAAGTTGCATCAGTCAACGCCAGCAGGTTAATCGCTGACGAAATCCAAGAATGGATATGGAAGGTTCGTTTGGCACATGCGGACTTACGTCATCTCTGGCATAGACTTAATATACGGCTGTCGACCAGAAGGCGTGTTTGCTGCCCAGCAGTTCTCTCTGTTTTCTTTATGCCTGTGAGTGAGACAAGGACATTGAAATTGGAATATACGAAAAGGCTGGCTGGCTGTCTTTGATCATAAGTGTCTGCGTTTTGTCTCCCATGTTAGGTAGCATAATAGTGTGAGCAGTATTGAAGTTAGGCATCGGTTGAGTGCTAGCTAAGGAGGGAAAATCGATCGACGAGGTTGGGAAGTTACATCGATTGACGGAGATGGCTAGGACATGTGTTACGCATGCCTAGCCACGCCATCGCCTTCCTCGACTGACGGACGATGTTAATTGGCATAGAGTGGATCAAGTTGGAAAAGAGTTAGCTAGTGGTGGTCAAACCGAAACATGGCTTCATCGGTCAATGAAATCCATAACAGTTAGTTTAACCCAGCCACGTAAGGAGATGTAGACCTCGAGATGATAAAAACCAATGAAGACGGAAGACAATTGGTTTTATGGCTCAATAGCTGGCGCGGTTGCATTCACACTTTGTGATTTACAGTAGGCTATAAAATCCTATTGTTCTCCCATATTACTATTCTTTTCGCCTCACACTTGTGTTTATTATTTGTCTTTCGAACCTCTCTTTGCTCTCTCTTCTTTTCCTTTATGTGTCTTACATGGAGTGTAACAACTCGAACTTTTGCATATGTGTGCAAAGTTCCACGTCGGAAGCAGTCAGTCAGCAGTCTACAGCTGTTCATATTGATCAAGCAGTATGTACTGGCTTTCTTGATTTTCGTTGATAGTATCAAAATAGATCACATGTATTGTGATGTGAATATTTTCGATTTCTGAATGGTGAGGGACTGTAGTGTATTTTCACCTTGAACTGATTAATTTGTAAAGAATACAGTTAATCACACAAGGAAATGAAACCACTTGATAATTAATTAAATCTTCCTTAACGAAGGCTGCTGGGATGTGTTACACATGATGGATGATCATCGATCCACTTTCTTCGCTAAAACAAGTAACACTAACTAAAGTGTTATTAGGTTGGAGGGCAGTTAGGTGTGATTGTTACATCTTTGCAAACGTTGATTTGAGTAAAGACACCCGAGCTGGTGACAAATGTCGTCGGTGGCACAGTGATTAGGACTCTCGCCGACCATGCACATGGTCCGGGGTTCGATCCCCTGCCGACGCACACCTGATATCAATGGTCGGCCTGCTAAATTTGGGCTACCGATACCACATGCTGAAAATTCCATACTTGTTCCAAAAGTACTGTATGGTTTCAAGCTATAATCAAAAATAAAATATGGCTTGTCTGCGCCAACAACGTTATACACAGCTACCTTGATTCCCAGCTCACTAATCAGGTGCGAACACACAACGAGGTGAGACGGAGAGTATATCTAATGAAGTAGGTGTGGAAAAAGTTTATTCTTCGGTTGTTTATCTACCCATCTATCAGACATCTGATTGGTTTATTTCCAGACTGGATATCGATCACCGTATAAGTGGTGTGCAATCAGACTAGAAGATATCGCCAATCTATGAAGTCTAACTAAAGGTCTGAAGGATGCAACAATGTGCAGGCTGGCGATCATGGGATAACTTGGTTAATGTTGATCAGCAGTGGAAACCAAGATATGCGTTCCAACCTATTCATGGTTTGTCATCTGGATGTATGCACATCCCTAGTAAGAGTGGTGTTTCTAGTGAGGTCTGAACACAATGAAAGTGTTATTGAATCTCCTTGGGAATGCCACCATGTATTGGGGATGCGAGTATAACCACGTGACCTGTCTCAAATAGGAAGAAATATTTGTTCTGGATTCCGCTAATAATCACCATCAACCATATAATATTATTTATTATATAGACATCATTGAAGCGATGGTGTTAACAGCAGACATTTCAACAGAAACCGAGCATTTTGGTCCGGGGTTAGATCCCCGGCCGACGCACTCCTTTACCTCGTTAAGACACTAAGAAGACTGGTAAAGAAGGAAGGTTGTGTATGAGCTCAGCAACTCCATCCAATAAAAATTTAAAAAAATATAAAAAAAATACCACTGCTACCGAAACTCCAAAGCTCTAGCTTGAAGCCCTATGTTCTACTGGGAACGTAAAGGAATAAATAATTAAATAAAATCAATTAAAGGGAATGACATTCTTTGAATGTTAACATCTCATGAAAAATATAGTTCAAAGTTTTTGCCACAAATGCGTGCATTCATTATCATTGAATTTTTCTAAATATTTCCGCCAATCTCCGCTGAATTATTGTCTTGTTGGTTGCATTCATGTTCATCGACTTAAGTATTATCTTGCAACCGGTTTCTGCGAGTGTGTATATGTGTGCTCTGTTAGGAGATTTGACAACTTAAATCGATCGACAAACACGTATACTTGAGCAACAGTTGACTGTGGGGTATGGCTATTGAAAGTGAAAGACTTGAAGACAATAGCTGTGTCTCTGATCACAGATGTTTGCTCTCTACCTCTCGTGTTAAGTGGTATAATAGGGTAGGGTCCGTAGTAATAAGGTTAGACGTAGAGTGTTTAAGAAAAGAGGACAAGTCAACCGATCAGGTTGTGGAACTACATCGATAGAGGTTACTAGGTTAAATGTTACGCTTTACGACCCCACTGCCTCCCATGTCGAGTAGTGTTAAGTGACATAGGATTGGGATTGAAAAGAGTTAGTTAGAGATGGTAAGATTGTATTATGCAATCAATCCATGAAGACCTTGACTACCGGTTTGAGCCAGGCATGTAGAGGTGTGTAGACTTCCTGAGTAGGTCCCTCGAGACGCTAGGAACCAGTGACTTAAAGCCGTTGGTAGTGAGTGATATTGCTCAAAATCGTTGTCACTAGTACAGATGCATTCATTCTTTGTATTCTTCCAAATCCTTTATCCTCTTGATGTTTCTTCATGTAGTTATTCTTTTTCCTGTACATTCATTTTCATCATAGTTTTTATGATTCTTTTTCTCTTTCTCTACTGCTGTGTGTGTATGTGGCAAGTTGAACTACTCCACGTTTGTGTGAAGTTCTACATGGATCTATTTTTTTTCAGCAATTGAAAACGCACGCATCTTCGTTGAATAAAATATTGGTTATCATTGTCTGTTGTTGAGATTTGGTTCCATTGGCTTAAGCGGTTAACTCTCAGCAAATAAGTTTTAAGTTCGATTATCGCCGAACATGAGAACTCTCTTTTCTGAGTAACTGATTTCAAGCCATGGCATACTTTATTGTTTGTCTTCCAAGCTCCACACCCCACCCCATCCCCCCGAATTTCTATTCCCACTAAAAAAAACTTGTTTCATTTCCCAGTCTGGTGGTATACGTTGTACATTAGTATCAATGCAGTAGTTGTCTTCTAAGCTATCATTCAACGGTGATACAGTTGGTGAAATGCTCAAAAATCAACGATCTATAACGATTCGAAGAACATGATCTTTGCGTTTTACCTTCCGCTAAGTGCACTTTGATTTATTGAAAAGTCAAGGAAGCTTTGATTGTTAGCTAACTTCAGTTTTTTTATGTAGCAGTTTATATGCTATTTTAGAGTCAAATGTATTATTATTATTCCTTGAGTTCCGAGTGGGACATAGGGCTTCAACAACTCATCTCCGCTTTCTTCTGTTTTCTGCCATCCTCTTCAGCTGGATCCACAATTGCCCATAATCTCTCATATCTTCCAACTCGCACGATCTCCCCAATGTCACCTTCGCGCTGAAAAATCATTCGTCGCTTCCAACTTGGGGGTTGGCGGGCGATGTCATGCCCGATCCATCTTTATCCATTACTGTTTGTAGTTGTGTGTAAAAATCTTCTTTCTTGTCGTGTTGCGTTTTGTTTGTAGCCCTGTGCATACCATTGGATAATTGTGACCTTCCTTCCTTCCTTTTGAGTTGAATCTTGCGGTCTTGATCCTGGATGAAATTGCTTTCCGCTAGTGACATCATTATAACTCCTCCCTCAATGTGCTCGTGGTTGTCGTCTGGATGACCAGACTGGATTAGATTACTGACTCTCCAGTTGATTATTTTTATAATCAACATCCATTCCATCTGCTCTTGCAGATACCCAGAACTTCTATGCCATATATTCGCATTTCTTTGGCTACCTGGGCGGCATTTTACAGTCTCGTACATTATAACAGACATTCCACATCTCCATTCTTATTCTTGCTTTGATCGAAAATACATTATTATTATTATTATCATATTATTATTCGGTTGAGTTCTGAGTGGAGCGTAAGGCTTCAACAGCACATCTCCACTTTGTCTTGTTCTCTTCAGTCCTCTTCATTTGGCTCTACAATTTCCCATAATCTCTCATCTCCTCGCACTATCACCCTCAGACGCCCAACCTGTCGTTTCCCAATTTGATTTCCACTCGAACGATGGCCTGGCACACGATGTCACCCAACGGTCTCCTTAGCGTGTGTCCGATCCATCTGCATTTTCTTCTGCATATTTATTGAGCAATAGGTTCTTGATTGGCTCGTTTCCAGGGTTTCTTATTGTCGTTAATTCTTTCTGGTTGACGGTGCGATCTTCAGTATGGAGCCAGTTAAGACAGATGTTGATAAAAGTCTACAGTAGCCTGCTTTTGGTGATGTAAGCGCCAAGTTTCTGACGTTATGAAGAAGAGCTAACTTAACATTAATGTCTTACTTTTCCAATCCTGACTGATTTTGACATTCTCATCTGTGCCAGTTGTTGCCTGATGAGATAAGTGAAGGAAGGAAGTGACCTCTTTCAAATTTCTACCATTGATAAATACGTAGACTTTATCAATAGGATTTCCTTAAGAAGTGTGTGTTGACTACTTCACTTATTTATTTAGAAGGTTCTATCAATTTCAATAGACTAGTTGCATCAATAATATGAACCGGCTTACATCACATCTCATCAACAAGATATCCGGCTACCCGACAAAGAGGATGTAGGCTATATAGTACTTCCCTTCTTTTTCCTACTTTATGCCTAGTCGGTGGAAGGAAAAGACATGGAAATATCATATAATTTTCATTACAGACGCCTTTGTCAAATGTCAAAGTGACTGCTCTAAACTAAATGGCTTTTTATCAGAAATCAGCCAATGGTCCAAGGAAAACGGTCTCACCTTAAACCCCTCCAAATGCCAAACAGTCAATTTCACCTTTAGGCACAAATCTGACCTAAACAAACTGGTTATCACTCACGAGGTATGCAACATAGATGACACTAAAATAGAAACCAAGTCGGAAATTAAATACCTTGGCGTCATTCTATCTGCTTATCTTTCCTGGCCATCTCATATCTTGATGATTTCTAAGAAAATATTCCGTCTCACTTTTCTACATCAAGAAGTTAAGACATTCTGGAATAACCCAACCCTTACTCTTACGATTCGTTAACTCTTGCATTCTGCCTATTATTCTCTATTGTTCCCCGCCCCTAGTTTTTCCAGGGCTACTGAAGAAAGACTACACCTTATTACGCAGGATGTTAAAGGTTGTCAGCAGGGTGAGCAATGTTGCCACTTAACCAGCTTGTTAATATTCTGGTCGACAGGCACTTGGACTTATGTGAAAAATGGGCTAAATCCATTTTATCTAACTTACACCACCCTCTTCATTCACAACTCCCTCCTTGTATCTCATCAGGCAAAACCAGAAACCTATATAGGAAACTATATGCTCGCAGTAGCAAGTACAAAAACTCAACTATACCCTACTTAGCTCGTGTTCTGTGCGATGAAGAAAGCATTAGGCGTGATACCTATAACTTATTAAATAGTCAGTAGAACAAATGGATTTCATCTTTCCAAATCATATCATTTATAGGTGCAACGTTTTATTTCTTTCTTTTCCTGTTCTCTCTCTTTTTTTATTGTTGTTATGTGCTGCTTTGTTTCTTTCTTCTGCTTACGCCAGTAAATATGCTAGCATCTACTGTTTTAACACCTTCAAACACTCTGTTCAATTTTAGCTTCGCTACCGACATGCCAATATGTTGTTGTCGTAATGAACTGAAATTTCCTTAATCTATGTAGAATTTTATTTATTGATAATGTATTAACTGGATGCAATACTGTAGTAAAAGTGCTGAGAATTCCATTCTGTATCACAAGTACTGTTTTAGAATAAAGCAAATTATTATTATTCCTTCCATTGGTCACCTGAAGTTGAACGGAATCGCATTTTTTTTGTAATGTTACGGTTGGACATGGAGTGTTGTGTATCTAAGTTAAATTAGTGACGTGTGTGTGTATAAGCATGGGCTTGAGTAGTCAAACGGTTTTGTTCACATACTTAACCACACATTACTAGAACAAACAATGTTAACCAAAGAAGGATAGAGCTAGACCAATGCACGCATGGTACTGATCTGGGAGGCATTAGTACACATGTGTTGCTTGTTTTGTAGTTGACTCGAAGAACCATATTACGGGGTGTGACTTACAGTAAAGTTAGGTCTAAGTAGATCAGATGCTGTGTTATATATTATTTTCACTTAAATCGTCACCTTTCCTCCTCAGATGTAAGTTAGATGTATTTTAGACACATTTGAAAGTAAACTTGATTTTTGCAACAAGCTACATTGTCTAGAACGAATGTTCCTGTAGGTCGTCGTATCATCCCAGAAAGGTTGTTTGTACTAGGAGCAATTACCATCATCGTGTAAGTCGTTGACCCTATATTAACGGTCTCAGGACGGAGTCGTGCTGTCGGTGAATATAGCTTTGATAATAGTAGGGCATTTGTTTACAAATGATCAGTTTTCCAGATGTGCTGCCTCTCCGCTCCAGGAAGTCGGTGTGTGTGTGTGTGTGTTTTGGGGGGTTAGAAATGCTTAATTCCAAAAAGTGAACATCCTGACTTACTACTCTGCGGTGATTTGTAGGTAGCTGTAGGGTGATCCAACGGACACAACTTCAAACAAGCTAGGTATGATTGGCCTGGAGCAGCTATCCCTCCCTTCGGACTCTACAGTGACATAACACCACCAATGCTCTTTTTGTTATCAATATTATCGAATATTATAAGTAGAATAAAGCTAGTGACTTTTCATTAAACTCTAGAGAGAGAGAGAGAGAGAGAGAAAAAGAGTACTCTCACTTATGGCAGGTTTGAGAAATATATGATTTCTAATAGTTTTGTCTCTTTTGTATGTGTGTGTGTGTAAGTATGGCTATTTCTAAAGTAACTAATGTTTCTCAGGTAACCAAACAATGAAGACATAAAATGAATATGAAAATCTGTATACCTTTCTGTAAGTGTTAACCTGAAGGCTTATTCTTCTTCTTCTAAAATCTTTTTAGTGTTGAAAAAACTGTTATTACTACTACTTACTACTACTCCTACCGCTATTATGTTTTAATAGGTGTATTAATTACTTTCGTGTAATTTATTCAAATTTTATAATGAGATTTATTATTATTAGTATTATTACTGCTTCTACTAATGATTTTCCCTGGATATATTGATTTTCTAACTATGATGAAGTTATTTAGAAGATTGACGGGTTAAGCGAAGAAATATTTAGCTTTTAATTGTATCCTCGTATACTGCTCCAATATATATATAAAACTCGAAGACCTACAGGCGAAAACCAACAAACCGGCTGGAGTGGCGAGGCGGGCAGCGAAGACAGGACTCCAGGTGAACATAGAGAAGACGGAGGTGATGAAGATAACCAACAGACAGCAACAACAACAACCAGCACCAATCACTATCAACTGGAGAGATTTAGCAGAGGTTACCTCCTTCACTTATCTGGGAAGCATCTTTACAACTACAGGTGGACGGAACGGATGAAGATGTTAAAGCTAGGAGGAATCGGAAAGGCAAGATTACACCTTCATCAACCTGAAACCAGTTTGGAAAACTTCCGCATTCAGACAGCATGTAGAACAAGATTCGGATTATCTACACCAAGCTGGCCTTTCTATACGAGTCAGAAACGTGTCACGAAAAGGATTTCCAACAAGCCACTGCAGACTTTTATCAACAACCTGCCCACTTCACTGGCTGCATACTGAAGATCAAATTTCTGGCTAGCCAGAAAGAATTAACAACAATAAAGTCTGGTTGGGAACGAACCAACCAAGAACTGATAGCTCAACAAATATTTAGGCAGAAACGGAGATAGATTGGGTATCCATTGAGGAAGGCATCGAATGAAATCTCCCGCCAGGCCATTGTGGAATCCAAATGAGAATCGACGAGTGGGTTGTCCTAGGTTAACATGGAGGAGATCGTGTGAGTAGGAGATGAGATATTATGGGCAATCGTGAACTTAGCCGAAGAGGATGGCAGAAGATAGAGGAAAGTGGAGATGTTTTGTTGTTCCACTAGCAACCCAAGGAAACAATTATATATATATATATATATATATATATATATATATATATATAGAAACTTCATACGTTTATCCCCCCTTATGAATTTGAATAAAGAAGGAACAATAGTAAAGAGGTTTCCTAATGGAGACAAGAGGCTAAAGTCAACGATAATGTAATTAAACAAAAAAAAGAATAAAGACATCCAGTTACCAGGGCGCACCAAAAACTGCTTATTGCTTCCATTTTAGCTCGGCCAACTGAGTATGGTATGTTTGCTTCATGGCTTAGTACACAGAAAATCTCTTTTGAGTAACTTAATTCAAACAGTGACACAATCAAGCGATAGTCGTCTTCATATCCAACTTGTTTGTGATATGTACCCACATGATGTGTGTTTTGTTTTTGACAGTCTGTTATATTTTGCTATGTGTATATGGATCGATATTCCATTATAACTGACAATATGCTTTTGTCTGTCCACTAACTAAATAAACAATGTATGACCTTGTTATCCCATGACATTACAACCAGTCATGGTAAGACGTTATCTTATTGGTTCATGTGTATTAGCCATTTTCATATATACCTTTGTATTAGACACTTGTACGTTATTCTGGGACACACACATTTCGTACATCTAAGTACCGTTCCACTCACACAGTAGTGTGACATTTATTTTCCTTTTCTGGAAAATACAAGTATCATCGTAAACCTGGTGGTTTTTCTGATTTCCCTCTTTCCGCGTCAGGACTATTAACTACTCGACGAGTACATAACATAATTGGCGACGGGGAAAACTCTAATAACCCACTCATCAGCAGTACATAACATAATTGGCGACGGGGAAAACTCTAATAACCCACTCAGCAGCAGTATATAACATAATTGGCGACGGGGAAAACTCTAATAACTCACTCAGCAGCAGTACATAACAGTTTGACTACGTAGATCACTGATTTTATGTATGAGCTCAAGATAATTTACCTTAAACAACAGTTCACCAGTGATTGTCATGCTTTTCAACTCCCCTGAGACTTACATGCGTGTTTGGTGGTAGTGAAGACACTGACAAATATACAGTCTTCTAAGTACTTGAGTAGAAATCTTAGTATATTTAACATGGGATTTTGCAGCATTAAATGTAAGAAGTGGTTGGTCGTGTTGACTACTTCTCTTATTAGAGATGATGTAACAGCCCTAATGAACTGGTTGTTGGCTAAATCTCAGCATCGATAGTAAAAGCTTGTTGTTGCATCATCACCTTTGAAACTCAGCTGTCAATAAATCGATATGTATTCTGTCTAACAATCTCAATAGCAGGGATGTTATTTTTACTCAGGTGTGGTCGCTGGCCCAATCTCTTCCCTTTTGGAGTGGAGTAGAACGTCTAATCTAAGTTTGGCTACAGTATGAATATGTTCTCGTGTAATCAATCTTATTGGAAGAGCCTTAGAAGACGTAGGCGAAGTTTGTATGATAATGACTTCATCGAAAGGCTATGTCAGTATCGATGCAATGTTCCTTTGTATCTACTGATCGAAGTCTGATCGAATTGAACTTTTTATTCCAGTTGATTTGACCATTTCTAAGGCAAACTCGTAGACACGATCTGGTCTAACCGTGTACACGCGGCCCATTCAACCTAAACTACATAATCAGTTAGAACGGTATATATGCTACATGGAATACTAATAAAATACTTTTTTTAAAAAAAAACTTTTAAATTTGTTATAACTGTTTATTTATTCGATTGTTGTTGTGGTTTTTTTTTCGTTATCAATTTTATTTAGCTAAATCATTAGAAGAACAATTAGAAGAGGAGATTGCACGTGAAGTTGATGAACTTGTTTTAAGCAAAACTGAAAAGAATTTAAATAATAATAATGATCATAATGGCGATGATGACTGTGAATCAGATGATATTGATGAAGAATTAGAATTAGAAATATTAGCTGAACTAGAAGGCAGTGTTAATAATCGTACTGATGCGGTGGATACCACTGAAAGTAATGAAGATGATCTTATCACAAAGGATGCTCAATTGAAACAAAAAGTTTAATCAAATAAAATTTCAATAATTTTTACATATATTACAGATAATATTAATATAAATGTTGATATTTCACACATTTATTATATTTGAGAAAACAGAAAAAAAATAAGAAAATATTCAAAGATTATATTAATAATTATAACGATAACTAATGATTAACTTTGTTTTAATTTGTTCATTTTCCTGGCGCGCGCGCCTTTTTTAAACGGAAGGAAAGGAGAACAGCATGCAAAATGAAGTATTTCTCAGTTATAATTTTATTATTTTGTTTTTATTACCATTGTTATTATTACTATTGTTTTTTCCGTCTTATCGAAATTCCCAGTTTTTCTCTTTAACATATCAATAATAGTACAATGATAATAATAATAATAATAACAATTGGTTTTGCAATTATAATTATCTCAATTCCTTCGAAACTAAATAAACAGTTTATATCATTCTTTGTCATTATTGTTGTTCATATTCCCTTGGGTTCCGAGTGGGGATTCAGCAGGATATTACTTCACTGTGTTCTCTTCTGTCTTTTTCGGCGGTATCCATGCTTGTCTGCAAGTCCTCATTTCGTCTTCACATGATCATCTCCATGCCACGTTCAGACGCCGAATTCGTCGCTTCTCATGATGTCATTCAATAGTCTCATCAGTGTAATACCTGATCAATCTCCATTTTCTTTTGTACACTCTGTGAGGTTCTTAGTTGGTTCGCTACCTGCCAGAAAGTTGTTGATGAAAGACTGCAACAGCCTTTCGTCACGTTGCAGACCTCTGAAATATGTAGAAGCACTGACATGGCATTAGCTTTGGAAATTCTGATTTTGTTCCAAGTCCTGTAGACCTCCTCACAGATTTCAAGGTGATGAAGGTCAGTTTTACTTTTCATATCCGATTTTGGCTAGCTTTGACAGCCCCTCATCTGTTTTGCCTGTTGAAACAACGCTACCCAATGGAAGCAATTGAAAGTGACGACTTCTCGATCTCTCATAGTGATGGTTGGTGCTTACTTTTGTTGTTGGTTAGGTATCTTCATCGTCTTTATCTTCTGTACGTTCATTTGAATTCCTGTTTTCCTTGCCTCTCATACCTTTGCTTATGAATCTTCAACTGTGTACATGTATGTAGGTGGAGTTTTGAATGGCTTTCAACATACCGCCTGGGTGGTGTGTTTTGAAGGGACGAATACTCTGTGGAAACGGAGTACATTTTGTTGAAAGAAAAAATCCGCTGAGTGATGTACTGTAAATTCGTGTATAGAGAAGGTAACTAAATTGTAGTGACTCAAACGAACGACCTTCATAATAATGACCTTGGTACACCCTTATCAACCAATCAGGTGAGTCCACAGCAAAAGCGCGCAGTTTAAATATTTTTCTATGATAACCAAATATAGTGTTAAAAAATATTTAAACAAGGCAACGTTCTCGTATGTGTTTCAAGAATACCTGCCAGCTTCATCCTGGAGTCTTCAGTGATAAGTCAAACCAATTTCTGTATATAAATTCACCCAGATAACTGTATATTACCACTTTTGATAAAAGTAACTACGGACTCGTCTGATTGGTTCGTCAAGGTCATTATGACGCTCGTTAACTTACGTCTCCATAGTTTACAGTTTCTAAAGGGAGTATATAAAACCAAGCTGAAGATTGTGTACTGTATATAGACATGTTGTTCAAAATAAAGCTACGATTATCAATATTATTATTGGTATTATTTTGATTAATTGCATAATCACCATCAATAGTTCATGTTAAACCCTTATCAGATACACAATATAGAGTTCACTCGGCCCCTAATCTGCTTTATGCTTCGTCGATTCAACGATAAAATGGTTGCCATCCATCCAGTAAGTGGTCAGAGGTTTGATCTGTTGCTGACTCACCCCTAAACCTTGCTTATCCGATGGTTAAACTTTATTAAATGTGAAAGTTGGTCGTGAGGTTAACAACCCTCGCTGCCCACCACCACCCTGTTACTGAAACTTCAAAGCTCAAAACTAAAGCCATGTGTTCCACTCTGATATACACCCACATGATGTGTGTTTTGTTTTTGACAGTCTGTTATATTTTGCTATGTGTATATGGATCGATATTCCATTATAACTGACAATATGCTTTTGTCTGTCCACTAACTAAATAAACAATGTATGACCTTGTTATCCCATGACATTACAACCAGTCATGGTAAGACGTTATCTTATTGGTTCATGTGTATTAGCCATTTTCATATATACCTTTGTATTAGACACTTGTACGTTATTCTGGGACACACACATTTCGTACATCTAAGTACCGTTCCACTCACACAGTAGTGTGACATTTATTTTCCTTTTCTGGAAAATACAAGTATCATCGTAAACCTGGTGGTTTTTCTGATTTCCCTCTTTCCGCGTCAGGACTATTAACTACTCGACGAGTACATAACATAATTGGCGACTGGGAAAACTACTATTAACTACTCAGCAGCAGTACATAACATAATTGGCGCCTGGAAAATTATGGACTCTTCTAAACTGGAATTACTATTTGGGCGACAAATGAAATTGACGGAAATGCTCATCAACCAACAGACTGGTCCAACTTCACCTTAAAGCAATCCGAATCATATCATGCTACCATCTGTCGACGGCATTGTGAATAGTATTTCACAGTTCAACTATAATCCAGATGCTAATGTCAGTTTTGACACATGATATCAACGTTATGAGGATTTATTCACAGTTGATCTCGCCTCACAAGACGATGCTTGGAAGGTGCGAGTGTTATTACGTAAATTAGGTCCCGCAGAATATGAAAGGTACTGCAACCTAATTTTACCCCAGAAACCACGTGACAAGTGTTTCGATGATACAATAAAGCTGCTGCGTGAACATTTTGGAGACCACTCCTCATTATTCAGCATACGTTATCGTTGCCTCAAGCTGACAATGAATGAAAATGATGATTTTCTTACTCACGTTGGCACAGTCAACCGAGAATGTGAGAGATTTCGACTCAGGTCCTTAACAGATGATCAATTCAAAGCCTTGATTCTCATATGCAGTCTTCAATCTCCTCGTTTCACAGATATCCGAACTCGACTGCTCAATCAGCTAGAACAAAATCCCAAGTTAACTCTACAGGACATAGCTGATGAATATCAACGGCTGATTAATTTGCAGAAAGACACACACCTGGTCGAATCAACACCTTCGAGAAGCTCTGATATTCATGCATTACGAAAGAGCGAAAATCTCTCTTCATCTACTCCTGACCCACCTTCTCCTAATGTTCCGCGTAAATCTACACATACTCGTCCAACTTCACAAAATACTGCAAAGAAGACCTCACCATCACCATGCTGGCATTGTGGCACTTTGTAAAGTCTTGTCCATACAAAAATCATCGTTGCAGCAAGTGCAAAATCATTGGTCATAAAAATGGTTTTTGTCAGCCACGCAAACCCAGATATCATAATCCAGCGAAAGCTCGACCAACTGTTGGTCCTAAATCCCCAAAAAGGTCAATGAGTCTACTTGCAACCTGTCAAGTCACCACACCAGGTATGCGGAAATATCTTGATCTTCAGATAAACGGTCATGATGCACGTCTGCAGCTAGATACCGCCTCTGATATTACTGTTATATCAGAGAAACTTTGGAATGATGTTGGCAGACCACCTATCACAAATACTTCCCAGACTCTTGTCAGCGCCTGTGGTGGGCGCCTCAAATTAATTGGTGAACTCAAATGTTCTGTTTCCTTCCGCAATACCAAATTCACAGGAATTTGCTACGTCACCAAGAGTGATTTAAATCTTTTGGGACTTGATTGGTTCGATCGTTTGCATCTGGCTGATGTCCCACTAAATTCTCTATGTAATGCAGTCAAGAAACATATAATGTCAGACGATTCCTGACGAAGCCGCAAACCCAACAGGTGGACGAAGCGACAGACGTCAACAACAAGCTCAAAGGTTCCAGATAAACCCCCAGGAAAACACGCTACTAATCATCAATCTTCTCAAAAGGGGAGGTGATATGTACCCGCTTGATGTGTGTTTTGTTTTGACAGTCTGTTATATTTTGCTATATATATATATATATATATATATATATATATATATATATATATATATATATATATATATATATATATATGTATATATGTATATATATAACTATAAAAGAGGACTTCGGTGGAGTGCGTTCTGGCGTGTGCTATTGATAACATTTATCAGGGAGATAGATTTGATTTCGTGCGTCGGTGATACAGTGGTAGAATGCGCGCCGACCACGCATGTGGTCTGGGGTTTGACTTGCGGCCGACACACTCCTTTACCCCGCTAAGCCAGTAACTGGACTGGTAAAGGGGGAAGGTTGGGAATGAGGCCAGCAACCCCATCCCGTAAAAATATAAAATACCACTGCTACTGAAACTTCAAGCCTCCAGCTTGAAGTCCTATGTTCCACTAGGAATTTAAAAAGATTTGATTTCAGAGAAGGCAAATGATACAGTATTGCGAAGATACATGCGAGACGTGAAAGGAACACAAAGAAACACAATGCAAAGGAGGACAGAAGTCGGACAACACAGAAGTTCTGTGCAAATGGTGTGTTGAATATAAGGTGTACATAATTTCGCTGTATAGAGATACCAGGTTTTTCGTCTTCTGCGGTTACACCATGGTATAAGTTCACCAGGTGCTATTGTATGGTTGAAGGCTGTCGGCAGAAAGCTTTGGACCTAGGTGTCGTGCTAGTTAGCACTCATCAGGAAGTACCCAGAGCAGTTCTACAAGAGGCTAATCGCGGCCCCGAATCGCTGAATAGTAAAGTGACTGCAGCACTGGGTGATGCGGGGTCGAATCACAGAAGGGACATGAGTTCCTTCAAGGCGGTCGCAGATACGCCCATCTTGCTGACTGGTGAATGTCAACTAGGACGAAACCTAGCTCAAGCAAGGTTTCCTGCCGATTGCCTCCAACCATCTAACATCAACAATTCAAAGTCCGCCGCGATGTCTAGCT